TGAACATTGGATGCTTGTAGGTTCCAAGACTAGTGTATGTATAGTATCTGAGCATATGATTTGTTCTCTTGAGACCTTTTCTGTATGGGGGGTGCCTCAGTTAATTATTCTGGAGTATTGGAATATTTATGCATTCCGTCATGAAATGATGGTGCCTTTTGAAAACGAAGAAACAGCGAAACACAAGTGTTGAACGGTTGCGTACGTGTGCCATTTTGGCTTCAAGTGCCCCTACCCGTGTTCTTCTTTGGTTGCTGCCATGAACTTAGAGGATAGCCCCCTCGATGGGGGGGATGGCACGGTAGGGGGCACGATCATCATAGATGATGATGATCAACATGAGAGCCTCCAAGAGCCGGCTCATGAGAGCCTCCAAGAGCTGGCTGAGAGGGTTCGTGAGGTGGTCGACGTGAGGAAGTGTGATGTGAGGTAGGACCAGGGGCCACTGGTGGAGTCACCGACAGAGGTGGTAGAAGGGTCCGACGAGGAGATGGCAGTGGTGAGTCCCTTGGAGGCTTTGAAGCAGTTGGTGCAACAAACCAGAGCGGTGAAGAGGGAGGCTGAAGTAGTTCATCGAAAAGAAGATGATGCTGGATGCCCAGATGAGATGATTCAGAGTGAGTTGAAGAAGCTCAAGTACAAGTTCCTGCAGGAGTTGAAGATGCCCTGGGAGAAGGGGTTCGCTGGCCTGGTTTTGCAGCAGGGGAGCCAAGTGATGAAGGCGCCCTTCATGGACAAGAACAACACGAAAGCATGGGCGGTGGAGCATGCAGATGTGGAGATGAAGAAAGCCGAAGAGAAAGTAAGTGAGTTGGACATCCAAGCCAGCTTCAAGAAGTCCGACAGGGTGAGACGGCCTTGGGCACAATCTGAAGCAGACGACCGACAGAAAGCCCTCGCAGGTTGGATGGCCATCATTGACGAGGCCAGGAAGGTGTGCAAGGCATCAAGCATGCTGGACCAGTGTGGTGAGACCGTCCTCGATGACATATTTGCCCGCAAGAAGAATGGAACCTTGCAAGTGAGGTTGAGTGCAATGATGATGTATGTGAGGTGGGCAAGATCGAAAGGTCCGGATGCTTTTCCTCTCACCAAGGAGCAGTGCTACGCCTATGTGGATGGGTTGAGGAAAGACGGAGCACCAGCCACCCGGGCTGCGAGCTTCAGGAGCGCATTGGCCTTTTGCAAAGGCACCTTGCAGCTTGAAGGAGTTGACGACGTGCTGGAGAGCGCTAGGATCATTGGTTCATCACACCGGAGTTACCTGACCAAGCGGGTGTTGAAGCAGCGGGATGCCTTGACTGTCAGCCAGGTGTCAACCCTCGAGTACGTGCTGGAGGGAAGGGGATACCCCATGCAGGACAGGCTATTTGCAGGACATTGCCTACTCTGCGTGTATGGGAGACTCAGGATGGGCGACAGTCAGGGCATTGAGACTGAGCCGCAAGTCCTACATGGATACCTGGAAGGAGGTACTGCCACCCACAAGACAGATGGTCTACGGGGCCGGGCCAGAAGAGTGCTGCCCGTGGTTGCGCCCGCAGTGGGAGTGACAGGACTAAGTTGGGCTGAGGAATTTTTGAAGCTTAGGCACCTGGCAGGGCTGAAAGGTAACAGGTGGGGGATGGAGCAGGGCCAAACTGTCCACCGCTGAGGGGACTGTATGGCTATGCGAAGTCCTGCAAAAGTACTCCGGGGTCAGTTCACTCGGCAATGTAGGTGCCCACTCGCTCAAGGCCACTGCTCTGTCATGTATGGCCAAAGCCATGGTTTCAGAGAAAGTGAGACGCCTGATGGGGTACCGCGTGAAGCCCAAAGATAAGAGTGTGATGATCTACAGCCGGGACGCCTTGGCGGAAGGTCTCGAGACACTCACCGGCATCATCGGAAATATCAGGGAGTTGTCTTTCCGGCCGGATGCGCCCCGCAACCAGAGGTGGAAGTCTGCTGCTGCGCCAAGTGTTCGTCATGGTCCATCTGGGGTAGTCCTGGGGGACGAGGGCGATGCAGATGTGCCGCTGGTTGGTGAGGCAGAGCTGGACATGATCGGGGCCCCCACGCCAGACAAGAAGATGCGCAAGATCATGAGCATGGAGGATCTTTCAAGTGAAAGTGAAGAGTCAGAAGAAGATGGAGGAGAAGTGCAGACGAACGAAACTTGGAGGCCATAGTATGTGGCAAGATGGGGCCGCCGAAGAAGGCGAACCAAGATCGTACAGGCATGGGTTGACAGGGACGCTTTATTAATTATGGTAGCGTAACCCCTGGGAAGTTGGCATGTGGCAGGGCCATCACTCCGATAGTGTTCAAACTAGAGGAGGAAGTACATGGCCTGGGAAGCATGTGCAAGGTGTGTCAAGGATACACCAAATGAGTTTCACTGACTGCGAAGTGAAAAGTGGCCGTGCGCTTGCAAGTGGTGAGTGAGTGAGAAGTGTAAGAGTAGAAGAGAGTGAGGAAGTCAAGTGGGGTAGCCAAGTGACGTGTTAGTCTGAAGCGGAAGTGTCATGGTTAGCAACCAGGGGAGTAGTTCCCCCAGTTGCACTTGGCTTTGACCGGGAAGTCCGGTTCAGGTCGAGTGAAGCAGGGAAGTCCTGCGCGCGCAAAGTGGAGCCCAGAGGACTGACAGGTCGAAGGAGAAACGACCAAGAGGGGAACGTCGTTGCGCAGTCACACCTTGTCGTGCAGGGCACGTCGCGTGTGAAGTGTGAGAGATAGTTGATGATTAGTTCGTCTGACCAAAGGTGACATGAAGTGAGAGTTTTTCAGCAGATGTGCGAATGTCGGAGTCGGGGCTCAAAGTGGGCGGCGCGATCGATTCGGGAAGGCGATATGGCGACGTTGACCGAGTCGCAGGCCGTGTTTGAGTCGAAGTTGAAGGATATGGGGTTGGAAGGGTACAAGGATGCCATGTCTCGAAGAGGATGGACACCCTTTCGACTTTCGCCTTTGTCGACGACATTTGCAGGGGCATGACCATCACAGGTGAGGGCAGGAACACGGGGTGCTTTGCCCCACATTGCAAACCTCCCCTGCTCGAGAAAGAAGACCTCTGGAGGAGTGCAAAGTCAGCCCAAGAGGAAGTGGCAAGTCGGGTCCCGAAGCACATGGCAAGTAGGAATGCAAAATGAGCGGAAGCAACTTTCATAGGGGGCGAAAGCATTCCGTCATGAAATGATGGTGCCTTTTGAAAACGAAGAAACAGTGAAACACAAGTGTTGAACGGTTGCGTACGTGTGCCATTTTGGCTTCAAGTGCCCCCTACCCGTGTTCTTCTTCTTTGTCCCACCCTCACCGCCCATCCCCCCGGGTAGTCCGGGGGTGGGTAGAGGGCACTTGACCATAGTGGTCTGCCTGGGTTGTCCAGGCTTAGTTTAAGGGGAGTGATTCGGGTAGTCCACGGAAGTAAGTAGAATGTTCAAGGTCCGAAGAAGTAGAATGTCTGCTGCACTTTTAAGGAGGTAATTTTCCATGTATAGATTATGTGTCATGTACAGAAGTAAGTAAGGTGGATGCAAGACCAAATATACACAGCAGATGACCTGCACCGTTCGCATCCCCAGTGGAAAAGAGAGAGTATGAGCGGAAGCAACTTTCGTAGGGGGCGAAAATATCTTGGAATATTTTTCAGAATATGTTTTCTGCAGGTATGCGATCTCCCTCTGTTCAGCTGCTCTGGAATATTTGTTCATGTTGTGAGAATTGAACACGATGGAACAATTGGCGATCATCACCAAGTAGGTTAGGATATCCTCGGAATAATATGTAGCCAAAGATATATATCCCCTGGAATATTTAAGTAAGGAAATGTAGATACACCCTGGAAAATTTAATTAAGGACACATCAGAAACGATGTCTTCAAAGGCTGGTGAAAGATGCTGAAGGGTGATTCGAAGTTTTGTCAGACATTTTGAAAACTAAAACGCAATCGCTACTAGGTTGGAGGCCATCGCTAGTAGGTTGGAGGCCATCGCTACTAATCCACAATCCACAAATAGTCCTTAAATAGGTAAATACTCATGCGCAGGCAGTCCTGGTTTCCAGGATCACTAAGGAACACTAAGGATCTTACACCGATTGCTTGTTTGTTAAACGTTGAAGTATCCTGGAATAATTGTTACATACAAATATTCCTGGAATAATTGTTGCTATGAAACAACAACTGTAAGGCATACAAAAAAATATCCTGCAGGTATCCAAGGCCTCATTTTTCTGTAATGAGCTTCAGAAGCTGCCGGAGGATGCAAGAACACCAAGTCGGAGAAGCAACGCTTCTGCTGCAAGTTTGCATGAAGAGGTGTGATAGTATCGAGCATTCGTGAGTTGTGGACGTGACAGGGCACTGCTTTGACAGATGAACATTGGATGCTTGCAGGATCCGTATCTAGGCCTTTGGAACCTGTTCTCTGAAAAGCTTCAGAAGCTGTAGGAGGATGCAAGAACACCAAGCCGGAGAAGCAACACTTCCGCCTCCAGTTTGCATGAAGAGGTGTGACCGTCTCGAACACGAGTTGTGGACGTGACGGGGCACTGCTTTGACAGATGAAAATCGGTTGCTTGCAGGATCCAAGACTAGTCACTAGTGTATGTATAGTATTTAAGCGTATCATTTGTTCTCTTGAGATCTTGTCTGCAAAAAGTTTCACAAGCTGTAGGAGGATGCAAGAACACCAAGTGGAAGAAGCAATGCTTCCGCGGCCAGTCTGCATAAAGAGGTGTGATAGTCTCCATGAATTGCGGACGTGACGGGGCACTTCTTTGACAGATGATCACTCGACGCTTGCAGGATCCAAGACCAGTGGAGTGTAGTGTATGTACTATCTAAGCGTATCATTTGTTCTCTTGAGACCTTTTCTGCCAAAAGCTTCAGAAGCTGTAGGAGGATGCAAGAACACCAAGTCGGAGAAGCAACACTTCCGTGGCCAGTTTGCATGAAGAGGTGTGATAGTCTTGAACATGAATTGCGGACGTGACGGAAAACTGCTTTGACAGATGGACATCCGACGCTTTGACAGATGGACATCTTGCCACAGTCTTCGAATGAAGAGCCTGATAGAGTCTGATAGAGAAAACATTCTAGGCATACTCCGCTGGTTTTGAATTGAATTTTCGCGCGCCATTGCAAATCGTTGTGATGCATTTCTCATAACAACATGGATCGCCTTTTTGCTGAGCACTATTGGTTGAGCAACACAACAGAGCAAGTAGATATCTTTCCCCCGAAAGAACGTCAGAAGGTCACGTGCTCCCACATATTCTCGACCGAAAGAGTAGTTCTAGTTTTGGTGCCCTGAAGCCACTAAATCAAGTAGACAGCATGCAAGCTAACGAAGATTCGGCCAACATAGACGACACACTGGAGGAAGCCTTGATCCTGGGTTAGTCGAAGGGAGGATCCTTTTTCCTTAGCCTGAACTCTCACTCAGAAGTCCTTGCGCAAGACCTGAGGAAAGCTTGCAGGCAGCCCTGAGAGCTGCTGATGAAGAAGCTGCCGAGGCTGGTCTTTAGGATTCAGGACCGTGCAACATAGAATCAATCCATTCGAGGCCTTCCAGCCGGGCGTCTACGTGACGACCTGCCGATGCCTGGTCTTGAGGACCTTTGATGTCATAGAGCCTCAGATTGGTGACATCATCACGGAATTTCAGGCACGTTCACAGACGAGATGGTGAGACTTGGGGTTGGTATGTTGATATGCTGTGTAAGATATACTAAGATGGGTCAACCAAGAAGAAACGAAAGACATTGGGTAGTTCACTTCGATTTTCCTTCAATACCCTTTGGACCTGGCGGACACTCCGGTGGACCTGCCTGATCCGAGTACGCCGTCGCCTCGACGCTGGTCGCCTTGGCGCATGCGATCTTTGATGGTCAGCTTGAAAACAACACGTGATGGTCTCCATGGAGAGTCCCTATGGACATCATGTTTGGAGGCCATCGCTATTAGGTTGGAGGTTATTGCTATTGGGTTGGAGGCCATCGCTATTAGGTTGGAGGCGGTTGCTTCTAATTAGGTTTGAAACTATTAGGTTGAAAGCTTTGGTGGCTGCGCATGTTTTGTTCCCTGCCATGACACCAGGCAGGGAAGGTCTTCAATGCAGTGAGCTTTCAGCTTGTCCCAGAACAGCGGCGCCTGCCAGCGGCTTAGTGTCTCTGCTCATAAGCCGTATTATATATAGTGCTCAGAGGAAACTCACCGGGCAACTGAACACCTGCCTTTTGATCGAACCTGGGTCCTTTTGCATTTTATGTGTATCATTTTATTGTTGTCAGGGTGGTTCCACAAATGATTTCAAGGAGGTTTGATGCGGCTTGATACTGCGCCCAGGCGCGCCGCCTTAGCCCAACCGGCAGATTGCTGGATCGACGTCATTGACTTTGGCACCGATCAAAGCTTCGTGGAACGGGCTGAGCCCTCGACACAGGTGCAATGCGTGCAAGGGATGACGTCGCCATGACGGTCGGCTGTTCTTGTCAGATACGATAATCCTAGGTCTGATAGGTCCTGCATTCATGAAGGTGTTTTTCCTTGAATGTCTATTTGGGGTAGGTTGACGTGGATATCAACATAGCGAAACAAATTAGAAAACACTGTCTCGCATTTCGACGATTGCGACTCACTGAAGGAGGATGGTCCTGGGATTTATGTCTTGAAGAGGACTGATGCATTGTGCCTGGTGTGCGTAGCAAGATGAAGAGGTGGGTCTCATGATCGCAGGATGGTTTTCGTGTCTCCTTCCTGCGAAAATGTGGAACCAGATGATGCAGAGATCGTTGATGAGCTTGATGAAGGTGCGTTCAAGCTCAGATCCCACTATGTGCATGTATTTATTTCAGCAATGCAACGCATGGTAGCATGGAACAGAGCCAAGCCTCGCAGTAGCTGTGTCCCAACAGGAACGCTCGTGAGGGTGGAAGAAGTGGCCTATCTCCGACATGAGCGTCGAGTACGCGCTCGAATCGCCTATCCAGCAGGTTGGATTACGCTCTTCAGCGAGCACACGAGAAGGTTCTTGGGCTGCAAGAATGAGCAGGCATTTTCGCAGACTGCCGATGGCAGAAGATGGGGTCAGGTCTTGGGTGTCCACATTCACCTCAGAGGCCTCTCATGATTAAACTGAACTTGCAACCCTATGGGTTTTGCATGAGAAGCTGAGGCGCTGTGCTGCGAAAGTCAACGAACAAGAGGAAGAAACTACATCCGAGAATGAGATGAATCTATGGGGAGAGGTTTGACTCTCAGTTGAGGAATACATCCATTGCAGGATCAGAGACGAATGCAGAATGCATGTAGCATTTTGAGCGTACCACTTGTCCTTTGCGAAAAGTTTCAAAGCTGTAGGATGATGCAAGAACACGAAGTCGGAGAAGCAACGCTTCCACGGCCAGTTTGCATGAAGAGGAGTGATAGTCTCGAACACGAGTTGTGGATTTGAGCGGACATTGCTTTGACACACAAACAGACGCTTGCAGGATCAAGGATCAACGTATCTATATTATATCATCAGTATCTAAAAGTAGCATT